ACAACACATATCGACGGAATTTCTCATCAAGAATTCCACAACAACACATATCGACGGAATTTCTAATCAAGAGTTCCACAAACACAACACATCGACGGAATCTCTAACCAGGAGTTCCACCAACACATCGCATCGACGGAATCTCTAACCGAAGAGTTCCACCAACAACACGTATCAACGGAACATCTACCGAAGAAGTTCCACAAACAACACGAATCAACGGAATCTCTAACGAAGAATTCCACAACTTAACGTATCAACATCGATCCATTTACAACTCATCGAAAATCTCATTATTTCATTCGGGCTCAGCATCACTAATCTGAAACTCAGCCAGAGCATTCGCCGTAACAAACTGCGACGCTCAACAGTTCTTCGTAACAAACTAACGCTTTCAAAACAAGATATCCCTAGAATGAGCGACACGAATGAACTTTCCTCATATTTATAAGAGTTTCTCAAAAATAACTTCGTTCGCATCGTCTCGCATCAAATCAGGTTCACAAGTTACTCGATCATATCGTTTATAAAAGCAGTGACTTACTTCTAATCAAAAAACAAAGTTCAAGTTTCTAACACGCACAACGAACATGACTATGCACCATAAATAAATACATACGTCTTTCGTTCAACTGTCCGCCATTAAACGGTTAAAGTATGCAGCGTATGCAAATTCTCGATGAACCTGTTCCATAAATTTCCTTTCGATTAACCGAATATCGATTATTTGTGCGCAACGCGCAACGATTGTTCCTATGGCGACAGTGAACGTCATGTAGAATCGAAAATGTAACAGTTTAAACGGAATTGCATTTGCGTCTATGCAGATTGTATCATAACAGTTTTTGCGGTGAGATAGGGAGGAACTTATGCGGATGACTGGTTAACTCATTAGAAATGCAAACGCAGACTAGCATCCGCGAATCACCTGATTTTGCTATATAATGCACCATCGGCGTTGTTTCCTTTGACATTGTCATTTCTGTTGACGTCGACGTTTCCGCCGCGCCTGTAAGAAACTTACAGTGTAATTGCTTCAGGAGGGTCTCGTGTACGTCACGAGACAGGCGTAATTGTTTTAACGTTTTAATAACTCTGCTCGCGTGCACGGGGGCCGCGTACAGGTATAATAAAAGAGCGGCTCGATGATTCGGGCTCGGGTGGGACGCGTTACGTTTGCCGGCTACAGCTTCTTTCAAGTGTTGAGGACAGAACACGTCGAACAGTAATCAGTATTCTGGACGCTTTATCTGTCGATACTTAGATAATCATTTCTTTCAACTGAACCGTTGATACCTAAGAAGGCTTTAATAAATTTTTCAACATTAATCCCTTCAGTGCTGCAGCTTCGTGTAGATATTTATTAATATTTGAAGGTATTTACTCTCGTATTGTAAAAGTAATACAGAAATTTTATGGATGTCCGTTGGATGATTTTCCTGTAACTTACAAATTTGCGAATGCTGTAAATGCGTAAAGAATTAAATTAATTATTTAATTATTAATTTTATAATTATTATGACTACCAGTGTATCTTATACGCTATATCTATAGAATTTTGTGGATGAGACACGTAAAGGGAAATACCTAAATGTTTGCCAGTTTTATAGAGACATGATGAAAAAATAGCTGAAAAAAGGTTAGTGCTCGAAGACCTTCAGGAAATTTTTCTTTTCGTCATTTTAGTCGTCTCATCCAAAAGCTTAACGTTGTCTCAAACGGGTTTCTCGTATGTCTATACTCAGCAAAGTCATTTAAGTGCTTGCATTTACATTCTCCTCCCACCCTGTGTATTTCGCGTAGCACAGATTACACTTCGAAGGTCTGAGTAAGAAATATAAGGCGTTACAAAAATCTGAGCGTAGGCTCAAGTAGTTTTACACAAGCATATTTCTTCAAAACGAATTTATAAAGCTGCAACAACTGCGGTCTGTTACAAAATACTTCCATTTATACGATTGTGACAAAACAAATCTCCTAAAAAGTCTCGAACCTTAAAAACAAACATTTCCTGTTTTCAAACAAATTGAGAAATAAGATTGCCAATAATTAGAGAACTTAATTCATTTTACTAATAGCTCCACCATTAAAATTATTCATTGCTCCAGAATATATTTAATTCTATATTCCATAGTTCCGTAATTAAATCAATCAATATAAAAAAAAATCCAA